TTGCAATGAAACATGAAAATAGGGATGAAAACGATAAAAATTGAAACATAGGGACATTTTTCGCAAAGATGTGTCAAACTTAGGGATGTTTTTCCCTATTAGACTTTATTAAAATATTAAAAATAACAAAAAATCCCTCTCTCTCTCTCTTCTCTTCTTCTCCAAATGGGTCAACCATCTTAAAAGTCAACAAACTCTAGCAAACCATCACACAAACTGTTGGACCACCATATATATATATATTGATCATGACATGCGGATCAATTGTAATATATATCCTCCTTGCTTTTGCTAGATAAACTTTGCATTATATTATTAACATTGTCCTCTCTCCACTTTGTTAGTGGATTTGAATATTATCCTAAAACATTTCTAGAGTTATATTAGTCTCAATCCAACAAATCACTTCAGCCTAATCAATGACTCCAAATTACAGTACCTAATCCATGTCCCCTGACGGCAACAAATTTGAACTCCTCTGTGTATGAGATGGCTAAATATCTTACACTATGAGTAAAATATAATTTTTTTGAAATGATTGTCTAAAATAATAATAATAATAAAAAAAAAACGTTCGTTAAAGAATGATAAATTGTTGAAGTCTATTCTCGAATCAGATTGAGCCAACCAATTCAACTTACGATCATTTCAACTCTGCCAAATTTAATAATTTTTCCAACGTCTAATGGCACTTGAATAGATTTTTCCTTATATATATATATATATATATAAGCATGTAAATTAAATATGGAAGATTTGGATGGAAGAAAAGAATTAAATATATAGTTAGGTTCCATAGGATATTGACTGGCTTGGACAATTTTGCAGTTTTGAAATGAAACTAGGTTGACTATCATCAAGTGAAGTTCAATCAATTAATAATCAATAAATTATGAATTATCTCTAGCTCTATTTATATTAATATTTTCAATATTAGAGGTGTACATTTTCTGTGACGCATAAAATTTGTCACATTGGCTTCCTTTTCTTTTCTTTTCTCTTTTTCCTTATAAAAAGATTAGATGTGCGGAATATACATTTGATATTTTTATCTATAATTTGGATAACTTTTTCCTTTTTTTTTTTTTTTTTGGTTAAAGTAATTTATAGCCCGAAAGACATGAAGAGACTCTCCCGATGATAGAAAGAACTCATTGTGTTTTAATCTTTGTCGACCTATTAGTTATGATTGTATCAATTTCATATTAATTTTAAATTAAATAAAATTCATGGTAAAACGTCGTCTCACTTAGATATAGGCCCACCATAATAGAACTCTTGTGTCTATAGTGTAATAATTAATTGAAAGTATATAAGTAATTAAGAATTTGGCAAAAAAATCAATTAATTAGTCATCATACCTGAATGAGGGTTCAAAATAATTAGATTGTATTTATTTCTTTAAATTTTTTGTCAAGTCAACTTGAATACAATAAATAATAGCAAATCATATCATTAGAAAAACAAATAAATAATTCACATGCAACCATATCTGAAAAATGATAAGATCCAACATAAAAAGTCCACGTGAACTCTCCATTAGTCCTAACTTTTCCACCCAGATCCACCTCACCCTTTAGCACATGATACTGTACATACTTCATAATCAATGTGTCATCCATCTTATCAAAACTCAAAATAATGACCAAAAAAAAAAAAAAAAAAAAAATTGAATTGAGATTTGAAATACATATTATTTTTCCAAGTAATATATTTTAGCTTATTATTTTTAATAGTTTAGGGCTCAAATCAATTTCAGGAGTGACATTTTAGGGTTATTAAAATTAAGGTCTAAAAATAAACCATAGTTTTAGGAATGTAGAGTTTTAGGAGTCATGAATAAAAGAATAATGCCCTTGTACACACTCCCCTCACATGAGGGGAGGGGCCCACGCTCATTTAATGCGCGGACCTTACCTCTCATGTGAGGAGGCTGTACATCGAGCTGTAAGCTTGGTGTACATGTAGTAGGGCCGTGAATAAAATATAATGGAAAACCATGATTCTTGGTGTGGATGATTGTTGGGACTCGAAATTGGGTCAATAGGGTAAGAGGTTTAAGAAACGATGGTGATTTTAGGGCGCATGGTCTATGAGTCTCATCTTAATTGAAACTCAAAATCAAGGGAAAAAAATTTCTCACATGTAAATATCACCTTTTGTGTCTTATGTTTTACAATTTAATCTAGGGTAATTGGCACAAAACGTCCCTACCTTGTAAGTTTATTGTGAAAAATGTCCATACCTTTCATTTTTTAACACAAAACGTCCATATCTTCCACTTTCTTGACGTTGAACGTCATTTTCATCAAATTTTGACCATTTTACCCTCATTTAAATTTTTTTAAAAAAAAGAAAAAACTAATTGTAACCACATTCCCAAATTTTCTGAAAATTGCAAATGGTAACTTGATAATTACCATATTAAATAAATTGAAAAAAATCAAAAAATTAAAAAAATGGGTTGTCTTCTTCACCCCACCCCACCCTACCCTACTATTCATCTTCTTCTTCCCCCACTCCACTCCACCCCACCATACAAAATCTCTCTGCACAGCAAATCCTCCAAATCCGAAACCCCATTATATCTCTCTACACAACTGAACATGATATAATTCATAAATCAAACTACATGAAGCTTTAAAAAACTGAAAAACTGAATTACAAATAAAGATTAACAAATATAATGAACTTACAATGTAAGAGTGCAATATCAGGGTCAATGGTGGAATCGTCACCATCATTCTGAAAACAGCCAGCCTCTCCTTCAAGTTCGTTTTCTTCAATTTCTAACCCTAAACCTGACAAATTTCCCCCATCTATACTACCCACAAAAATCATCAAAACTGAAAAATAACAATAATAGAAGATAAATAGCAAAAAAGTAAGCTATTAACAACCCTCGAGAGATGTAATGGGGTTTCGAATTTGGAGGATTTGCTGTGCAGATAGATTTTGCATGGTGGGGTGGGGTGGGGTGCGTGGGGTGGGGTGGGGTATCGTGAAGAAGATACCCGTTTTTTAATTTTTTTCTTAATTTTTTGATTTTTTTTCAATTTATTTAATATTGTAATTATCAAGTTATTATTTGCGATTTTTAGAAAATTTGGAAATGTGGTTGCAATTAGTTTTTTCCCTCTCTTTTCTTTTTGTTTTATTTGAATGGAGGGTAAAATCGTCAAAAATTGATAAAAAAGACGTTCAGCGCCAAGAAAGTGGAAGGTAGGGACGTTTTGTGCCAATTACCCTTTAATTTAATTTTGATGAAGAGTAATGTTATTTGTAGTCATTCACTACGACAGTCATCATATGGAAATATATGTGGAAGATGGTTATTTGATATAAAAATTACCACATTAATGTATCAAATAATCACATACCATGTGTATGTCACGTAGAACGACTGTCGTAATGAGTGACCGCGAATAACATTATTTTTTCATGAAATATGTACTAGTTATGCGATTATTTTAACATGTAACATCACATATTATTATTATTATTATTATTATTATTATTATTATTATTATTATTATTATTATGACGGAGAAACCCACAGCTGCTACTTTTCGGGTGCGTCTGGGTAAACTCTCGATCTGACGCAATAATCTGCAAATCACGCCAATCAGGTAAATCGCACCAGGCAAGTCCTGTGTGATAGACTCGACTGAGAAAATATTGATAGGAGGAATCGAACTCATGAACAAATACCTCCGCGCTCACCTACTCCACTAATTTGACCATCCCATGTGGGGCAACATATTAATTTACTACTTTATTTTTTGATTTCATGTTGTGGTATATATAGTAATTAATATTACAATTTTAACATGTAACATCACACATTAATTTAACACTATATTTATTTGGTTCATAATGTGAATTTTATGGTAACGGGCAACATCAAATATGGAAATAAAGTTGAAATTTTATATTATACAATTCAATCTTATCAACTATTTTGTACCCTATATAAGCATAAAAAAGTAAAAACAATCACATTGAGTCAACTCCGAGTTGGATCGATGATTTATAATTTGTTACTTGACATGCTACATTTCTAAAAAATCATAATCTATTCTTACTATAGAACATGAAATTATCTTTCTACATAAGGGAAAAAGGGAAATTCATATAATTGCGGAATACAAGATGAAATTTTTTAACATTGAGCAAATGTAATTATTTAAACACTGTAAATATGTTTAGCCCATGTTTGTTTTTGATAAAAAAATTTATTTTTTAATAAATTTTAATAAAAATTGATAGAATATGTAGCTGAAAAGTTACATATCCCATAAAATAAATAATTAATATTTAATAAAATTTTTAGTTGAACCAAACAATCACTTAATATGCTATTCAATACATTCTATTAAATGAATTTACAATATTGACTACTATTTTTTCATCAACTTATCAAATATATGTTCCAAAACGGATGTCGAGTTCAAATTTCCGATATCTATAAGGTTATCCATTAGCATTTTTACCATAAAAGCTTGACATTATACTATAATTTTATGATGTCAAAAACTCAATAAAACTAAGAGAACAATTCATAGGATAACAAAAATCTAAACATTCCTTTGGCATTACAACCTTTACCACAATGATGCTGTACGTAGATCAAATTATTTCGTGGATTGGATTTCACTTGATTGTCTACGATTCCATTGCGTGTGCTCAGGGTAGAAGTTTTGGGATTTTTTTAGTTGTACAATTGAGATTGACAATTCGATTGATAACGCCTTCACAGAGGGGAATCCATGATTTTTTTATTCATCTTGGACCTTTCTCTCAAGTGTGTGATCAATCCCGATTATACATATACCACTTTCTTAAATTAAAGTACTTCAAATCTTGAATCGCTTATATATATATTCACGTTTTTTATATTGACTTGAAAATTATGAACAAATTGGCAAGTGCGTTCCACGTCAACCAGCGCGTACAACACCTAAATACTGTATTCCCACTATATAATGGAATGGAAAAATGCTCATCTCCATTATCCACGCTTTGCATTTCGGCTTTCTAGAGATCTCTCATAATGGCTGCGTAACTCATCTCTCTCAGCCTCTTCGCTAAATCTCTGTTTTTTGGTACCCTCAACGAACGCTAATATGGAAATTTCAAAAAATTCTTTGTAATTTTGAGTAATTTTTCTTCAAATTGACAACAATTGATAAATCTCGATTTGGCTGAAAGAGGAGATTGAATTTCGGGTGAATATAACAAGTGTGGTCATATACGTGCATATATACGTTATAATAGGATTTGTGAATGAGAATGGGTGGTGATGTAACGTACAATGAAGTAGAAGAGGAGGAAAAGGTGAGAAACGAGGAGGAGGTGGAGGAGAAAATGGTAATACAGAGGAAATATGCGGTTGCCGGAGGAGGATTTCCGCCGATGACTAAGGGGGTGGTGGTGGGATATGCTCTTACATCTAAGAAAACTAAAAGCTTTTTGCAACCCAAGCTTGAAGGTTTAGCTAGGTAATTCTTTCAGTATTTTTTCCTTTTATCTAATTGCTAAAGAAGATATTGGCAAATAACTGTGATTTTGATGCAGCAAGAGAGATGGAATGCATACTGTTCATTATTTTGTTTTTTCCCTTTCTTTTCTCTCTTGGTTCTCTTTTCTGTCATGATCTTTTGTTATTTGCAAATTTCTGAGTTAAGGTTTGGGATAACTGATTTTAAATTTTTAAGTTTATATTACTTTAGTCCAGGAATTATGTGTGTGTGTGTTATTTATTTATTATTATTATTTTTTGAAGATTGAAATTGTCCTGTGAATCTGGTTAAGTTTTTATGTGTGCAGGATGAAATTTTTGTGCCTAATTGTATGTACTGGTGTAGTACCCCCCACACAACTGTAATTTGTCAAAGTTTACATGTTGGTTGTGTGCAAAATGCAGGAATAAGGGAATACAGTTCGTTGCTATTGACCCAAGTATACCCCTTTCAGATCAAGGACCCTTTGATATAGTGTTGCATAAGGTGTGTGCTTTGCTAGGTTACCAGGCTTTATTTCATTCGTTTGTCCATTTTTAGAAGGATGCTATGTAATTATACGTTTTGACTACATCAGCCATTTTCACTAAATAAAATGTACAACATCTAACTGATTTCACCTTCTTATTGCAGTTATCAGGAAAGGAATGGCGGCATGTGCTTGAGGTTTGTCAATCTAAACATACTATAATTTTATCAAAAAAAAAGTATCGATAACTTCAATTATATGATTAGGAAAGCATATATTTGACTGCTTAGGCTACTGACGCCTTGATGTACAAAAAATTATGTACAATTAGTGTTATCCATGTGCAGAATGCTTTGTTCTCTCCTCCGTCATGAAACATTACTTGATAATTGAGGTCGAAGCCTTGACTTTAGTGATGAGGATGGTCTCCTTCGAGAGGCTGGTTAACTGGTTTGCATGTTTTTCTAGTATATCAAACAAAGGATTCCTGGTTTTATCTTTTAGTGGCTTCTTTTTTCCAGGGCTCACCATCGACCCTTATAACAGCTTGACAGGAGTGGGCTAACCTAATTCATGTTTTTCGGCTTCAGTATTTTCCTTCAAGTGCTTGCTATTTTGTTTTATTTGGGATGTTTATTCACTTATCCTTTTATGCTATTAAATTGTTGAATTGAACCCCTAGTGTGCTATATTTCCAGTTAGAGTGATAGATATTTACGGGTACTTATTTAGGCCATGTTTGAGCCACATTTTTTCAAAAAAATACATTCTTAAACCGTGATTTGATATCATTTCAACCATACATTCTTCAATAAAATAATATTACCCGTAAATTCAAAACTTTTCTTTCTTTTTTAACCACACATTTTCCATCAATGCACTATTCAAAAATGCATTCTAAAGAAAATAATGTTGCTCAAACAAGGGCTTACTAGGCAATTAGAAATTATTAATTTGATTTGGAAGTTCTGGAGCTTTCAACTTGTCAATATTTGGAATTGAATTCTTTTTGCTTCCACTTTTTGACGATCATGCATGTGATATGCCTGCACATGCATGGAATACAAAGTCAGTCATATGCTGGCTGTGGAAAGAAAAATGTAATTCCCATACCACGGCTTGAATGACTACATTGGATAAATTTATCGAATAAAATCCTTTTTACCTACCCTATAATTCTAAAAGGGTAAATTACAAGATAGAATTTGATTATATATTTTTTTATTCATTATTTATCTTATTGTAAATTTATTAAGCTAAGTTTATATCTTCTGGGAAGGAAGATAAACAGATTTCCACAGATTTTGTTCTTAGTTTTTGGAGTGTCTATTGCAATTTGATTTCTTATGGCAAGAGAGCAGAGAGCCTTCCCCTTTTTTTTTTGGTGAAAATGAATAATATCCTTTTAGGCCCAGTAGCCCAAACAACTACAATAAATGTATGGATTTCGGCCCCCGTTTGACCCCCATTAATTTCAATTCTATTACATTTCATTTTTCTCTCTTTTATTTTCAACCACACAATCTTCCATAAAATAATATTATACGTAAATCGAAATTTTTTCCTTCTTTTTCAACCATTTCTTTTTCAAAAAAAATATTATTCCACCCATTTTCATTTCTCCAAAATGGGGGCCAAACGGGGGGGCTTAATTGGACTAGGTTGCAATTTTATCTTGCTCCATTGGTAAGGAGTAATTTTTTGCTAATAAATCTAATTACCTTGTGAATTTCACAGAATTTATATGCAAATGCATCCAAACAGAGCACTTCTTCACCACCCAGGTGTTGTTGATTCAGTTTCTCATTTTGTACCGTAAACATAACTGTCAGTTCTGGTCCTAAATAATCATTTTCGACAATAAGTCTAGAAATTTAATTTGGCTTGTTTCAGCATTCCATATGTGCTGCATTGATGAATGTATAATCTTATATTTTAAAGCTGTCTTGACTACCTTTCATTTTTAAGAAATTTAAGATTCAAATGCATTGTGCAAACCATAAGCTTCTTGATCTTCTGAATCTGTTTGCAACCCAAGATCCCATCATATGTTTCACCAGGCGCTGCAGATATTAGAAAGAAAAAAATAAATAAAAACATTATACCAGTCTAGGGGTAAAACGATTAGCTCAAATATCTGCCAGTAATACAAACGTCCAGAAAGTCAAGGCCAACAAGCTCATACCTCTAACACCCTGAAGCTTAGCCTTGAGGTGGGAGCCTCAGTAAGTTTAGGGGTATGCCTTGACAAAAGGAAATCAAGGTGTTAGATTTGAGACATTAAATGAAGACCTCATGCGAGTTACACTGCAAGGTTCATGTCCTGGGTGCTTTTCAAACTGTGAAGGATCTTTGCATTCCTGTCCTATAGGATGATTGATGCAGTACCAACTTGAACAATTAATTGAAAGTGGGAATGGGTCTATGGGGAAGAGGGAATTGAGGGAAGAACGGGGGTAGAAGAAGAATCAGTAGAAGACAGATGGAAAGAAGAGAGAAAGTCGCCACAAGCCACCAAAATAATTATTCATTCATCAAGTAACAAAATTACATCGTAAACTAGGTTTAAATAGTAAAACAAATCCTAACAAGATTGGCCCGGGCTAATACAAGCCCAATTCCCTAAATAAGAGTCCAAGGTAATAAGTAAAGTCTAACTAGAAAATAAAATAAATAAATAAATCAGATGTCCTCATCAATGATTCTTGCATATATTAAACCATTTCCTGGGAGAGTGTTGTGTGCGTTTGTTGATTTGGAATGCCAGCTGATGCCAGCTGTCTTTTAATTTGTCCACGGCCACTGTTCTCTTGTAATTTGATTATGTTCTCACATGAATTTGCTTAATACATTTTCTCCAGCTTTTTTTTTTCGTATTGAGCTTTCTTTGGCTTGGGAAGTTGTGAATATTGCAATGGGGGTTGGTCTTGTGATGGGGGATGCAGTAATGGTTGCTGTCAATTATGCACCAAGTTTCACAATATAATGTCATGTTAGAGATGGCACGTGACTAACACTCCTAATCTATGTTTCATAATTTTATTGCCCTGGTTGAGAATTTGGGGCCTCTATCTGACTTGACAAGTTTTGCTTGTTCTAGTTGCTATACAAAATTGAATATAATCTTTCAAAAATGTCATTCTTTACCAGTTATTTACCTCTTTTTGAAGGATTATAGGCGAAACCATCCTGAAGTCACAGTTCTTGATCCTCCAGATGCCATACAGCTCGTGCATAATCGCCAGTCTATGCTTCAGGATGTTGCTGACCTGAACCTGTCGAATGCCTACGGTAGATCTTGACCTACATTAGGATGAATGAAAAACATTTTGTTTCCTGATGCTATCATTATCTCAACCTCTTTTCCTTGGGTGGAATGGTGCGTGCATTTAAAGCATGCTTGGTGCTTATTTACGTTCTTGCTGCTGGGGTAGATATAATTTACAAGTGTTTTACCTAAAATGGTGCTTGCTAAAATACTTCTGCATAATTAAATAGCTTTGTGTTCATCTCCTGTGTAGGAAAAGTCGGTGTCCCAAAACAACTGATATTCAAGAAAGATCCTTCATCAATGCCTGATGCACTCAACAAGGCTGGGCTGAGGTTTCCCATTGGTATGCCTTCATCTTATGTTAATATCCATCCAGGGGCAGATCTAGCACCCAGTGAGCCGGCGTGGCTGCCCGTGCTGGATCCGCCGAAAAAAGGATTATAAAGCTTTGACAATTCACGTTAAATATTTATAAATGTATCAAATTTCAAAATAAGGCTGCATAGCTCATATGGTAGAGCACTAGCTTTCTACCTGAAAGGTACAGGGTTCACTGATAGGAACCTTCCCTTGTTTTAATTTTTTTAGCTATCAAATTTGTTGAAAGAAAAAATTCATGATACATTTGCAATTGGAAAGATTAGAACTATGTACTCAATATGTGATAATTGAAAGCTTGACCACCATGACAATTATAGATTAATGAACATGACAAGAAAATATATATTATGCATATCAAAGTAGTAGACTCTTTGATTTAATGATTACTTTTACTTTTTTTAAAACTAAAATTCGACCTTGCAATGACCCAGCGTTTGAACTGTTGATTCAATGATTTTTCAATTCACGACGGATCAAGTATGACAACTATACATAATATATACTTTTATTGTTGGTTTAATCATTGTATTTTTTTAAAATTTAGATTTAGACAATCTAAGTAATGCTCTATATATATATTGTTAAAAATAATTCTAAAAATCATTGTTTTAAAAACTTTGCATAAGCTTCGCCTAAGTTTGCCTAAAAATTTTATTTTTCGTATTAAGTTTTAACTTGTTTTGCTTCAGTTCGTAAAAACTAACTTTATTATACATATATGATTCAAAATATGTATTTCTATTCTTGTTATTTTGGATTATATTGAATTATGTATTTATATGTATATTATTTTTATGTCCATATTGATTGAAGAATTTTTTATTATTATTTAATTAAGTGTTAATAAATAATTTCGCTATTGCAACGGTCAGGTTCTACACGTTTATCCTGAAATAATGAATTGAGTTGGAAATGCCCTACTTTTGAGTGCAGTTTGAACTATTGATTTGCGTAATTGGCTTCTCTTAGGACCTGTTTTAACAAATAAACGGTCAAGGACTGCACTAGCTCACTCGACTCCCTGGATATGCCCTTGCATCCATTAGTTTAATCACCAAATTTCGAAGAAAGAACTATATTTTTTGTGTGGTATGAGTACTTAATTTGTGATTATTATGATGTATGGGAAAGTTCTTGATTATTTGGACAAATGTGATGATTGCAACTTGTATGGATTGTCACTCTTAGTTTAGGAAATTTAATTGTTATTTGCTTACTTTAAATATTTCTTAATTTTGTCACTCTATGTTACAGTGGCAAAACCCTTGTTTGCAAAGTCACATGAGTTATATCTTGCATATGATGAATTCTCCCTTCAGAATTTGGAACCACCACTTGTCTTGCAGGAATTTATCAATCATGGTATGAGGTTATAATTGATGTGGTGTTCAGCATCTCTTCCATTGTCTGCGTGGTGAATGTGTTGTCACTTTCTTTATATTTTATTTTGTGTCTGTAGGTGGTGTCCTGTTTAAGGTTTATATTGTCGGGGAAGCAATTAAGGTGGTCAGGCGTTTCTCCCTACCTGATGTTACTAAACCGGAACTCTCTAAGAATGCTGGTGTATACCGCTTTCCTAGAGTATCTTGTGCCGCTGCATCAGCAGATGAAGCAGACCTCGATCCATGTGTTGGTGGTGAGATTATACTATTGGAGCACACAGATTATTCTATTCAATAAATGTTACATTGGCTTGTAATGTGGTGTGCTGGAATATGTTTATGTTTCTCACAGGGAGCTCTTAAAACTTATCTATATCTGTTTTGATCTTCTGTTATTTGACCAAGCTAGTTATTTGTGCATGTACCATATTTTGAAATCCATTTCTGACCATGGTAATGTATGCCAGAGCAGCACTTATTTTTTACTTGTGACATTCTTCCCTGCAGAGCTCCCTCCACGACCATTACTTGAGAAACTGGCGAAGGAACTACGTCGACGACTGGTATTCTTATTTCCCTTTTTGATTCTTCAACTGCATTGAGGAAGAAAACTGGTGTTATTTTGCATATTGTTGGTTCTCTTTGTAACATTGGTTGATTATGATTTCCATTTCTTGCTGTATTATATTTAATAGGGTCTTCGGCTGTTTAATCTTGATATAATTCGAGAGCATGGAACTAGAGACCGTTATTATGTCATAGACATCAACTATTTTCCTGGTATGGCCACTGTCCATCATATGTATTCTAATATCACTTGGTTATTATTATGGTAGAGACAGTGAGGGATTGCATTTATATTTAAATTGCAAATCCAACTTCTTTACCTGCTAATGTATAATTTGCAGGATATGGGAAAATGCCAGAATATGAGCACATATTTACAGATTTTCTTTTAAGTCTGGTACCAAGAAAATAGGTGGAGAAACCTTGTCAAGGGAGATGTGAGTGCTGTATGGAAAGCGTTTCACTAAATATGAAATATTATGTTGGCCATGGATGTGCAGGACGAATTGAAGTTAACTCCCGCGACTCAATTCCATGTGGCAGACAGTAGTAGGTGCTCAGTTTCTATTTTGCTGTCCCATTGGCATGAATTTTGCGACTTAAGGGGAAATTATCATGAATTTTGGGTTGCGCCCCTTCGTTTCAAAATTCCTTGTTTTTTTAACTAACTTGATGCTTTTACGTAATCTCACATATGCTTCGAGTTGTTTGGTTCAGCATGGCAGAAGTCCGTTGTAGTTCAACTTGGAGCCCATGTAAATCTTTTTTAGATCAATAACATGTACATTCTATTCTGATTCAAATTTGTTGGTCCTTTATTTCTTTACACAACCCCAATTTTTTCGTGTTCTGTTTTTTTGCTTTGCACTGACTGACATTCTTGCCTGTGTTTTTCACTGCGGGGTCTTCACAATGTTAGTTCTTTGTTTGGATATTCCTTCTCCACTTCTCCGTGGTTGAGTGGGCATGTATGTTGCAGAAAGAAGAATTGCTTTTCTTATTCATGTATTCAGTTTTACAAAAGAAAAAGGGGGCTGATAAGGCTCGGTGTACAGTCACCTAACATGGGGGCCCGCACATTAATTGGGCGTGGCCCCTTCCCTCATGTAAGGCTCGATGTACAAGGAGCTTTATTCATAGAAAACTGACCTATTTTAAACTCGATCCATTTGTTGGAGACGAGAGTAAAAATAAAGAGAGAGTATTGGGAATGATTGCAAATCTTTTACAAACAGAACAGAGAGACACTGGATTGAGTAGATCATAATTGATTGAATGGTAAAATGCTCTTCTTTTTTCACATTATGGACGTTGGTATAACTTTTGAAAGCTTAAAGGAACTCAACTAAGAATTGAATAAAGCCCCCGTCCCGGGTTGGGGGGGACAGGGGCAGGGAGCAGGGTTGCTAATAATTTAGAAGTGACGTTGGAAAGAATTTTTGTACATGACACGTTTGAAATGCAAAATAAAATGCACCTTTGCTGGATTTATGAAAGCTTAACGGAGAATCTCCCCATGCCTCATTTTGATCTTTCCTTGATTTGCTTAATCAAAGAGGAGAAGAAAAGAATGTTGGATTTAACTAGCGTTTCAAAAGGTGTAATGCGTGGTGATGCTTGGAGGTCAAGCTATGCGACGAGCATATGTGAGGCATAGGCTTTAAAAAGCGCAAAAAGACGTTTTCTTATTTTAATTTTTAATCAATCTAAAAATCGTTTAATAATTAAAAAATACTATCTGCTAACATCTAAAACAAATTTATACATTTTTTCAAAGTATCAATAAAAAGATAAGCTCCAAATGTAAATATTAAATAGTAGATAAATAGAAATTTTTTGGAGATTTCCTTCGTTCAAGACTTAAAATAAATAATTTAAAGTAATTATTTATTTAGGAATTTCTGTAGTTGTAAAATAAATAAAGAAATAACTTTTCAAATAAATAAATTGTTTAGAATAAAAAAAATAAAGAAAATAATTAAACACTATTTATTTGGTGTAATAATTGGAGATGATATTTAATTTGGTATAAAACTTACATTAAAGCACCAAGCCACTTGGCTTGATATCCACGCATCGCGCATTGCAAGCCTTTTAGAACAGTGGATTTAATAGTTCAATGAGGGTTGTGCTTGTAGGTTATTAGACTCTTCAATTCTGCACCGAATTTAATGTAAGTTTTATACCAAATTAA